GCGATCTCTCGTCAGCACCTTCGACGTCTATTTCTCAAGCGCAGCTGTCAATGCGACCGATCACCGATTCATCACGAGCCGATCTCACCGCCCACGCTCGAGTGCCCAGCTTGCAGCAAGGACCATCCGTCGCTCGAGGCTCTGCAGAGGTATGTACGCATACGTATAGATTTATCCGACGCCACCTTCTCCTTCGCCGCATCTAATGTCGCGGGCGATGCCAGCCGGCCAGACGCAGCTGGACCAAGCGAAGAAGCGCCTAGCCGATTCTCAGACGAACTCGTTCAGCGCTGGAGGCAGCGGCAAGCAGCACGAGCCGCGCGACCCCAAGAGCCGTCGCCAGCACTCCCCCAGGGGGCAGCCGACACGGCCGCGGCGGAGGACAGCGACACGGATGGCGAGACTGCGACAGAGATGATGAAAGGAGTTCTCAACAACGCACAGCGTCAGCGAGCAGTCGAAGGATGCCTCTTCAGCACGCACCTGCTGCCGAAAGAGCACGGCATCAACCTTGCCGCCATCGGAGCCGCTCAGAAGTACGCAGACGCGGTGAAGGACAAGCCCGCGGACCACGGACTTGGCCCTCCCAGCCTGCAGGTGAGCCCGGCGGTTCTCGAGGCGCTGGTCAAAGAGGAGACGCTGAAGCAGAACCCGAACCTGCAGGAGCACATGCAGTCAGAGACGAAGCTCATCCAGCACATGAAGGTGCAGCCGATGGCCGTGGCATGGGAGACGCTCCGCTACTGGAAAGCGAAGACCGCGTACGTGAAGGAAGGAGCACCGCCTCTCGTTCGCCACACCTTCTTCGTCAACTCGTGGGTGCAGGGACCTGGAGGCCTGATGATTCCCTTGAATTCGGTTCTCACGGCCTTGTTCATGGCTTTCGGGAGCACGCCGAAGATGGGTCCCCCACCGAAAATCACCCAGGAGCGCCGAGTTCAGAATTCGCTGGAGAAAATGCTTCGCGGGGCCCGCCACAAGAAGCCCAAGTAGAGTCTCCGCGGGCCCTAGGTTCGATCTCTGAGCGCGGACTGGTGCAGTTTCAGGGTGAGTGGGACCCGCTGGTGCGCCCCAAAGGCCGAGGCCAACATAGAGGCCGTGGGAAAGGGTCTGGAAATTCTAGGGGTAAGTAGTTCGTTCGAATGCAGTCTTTAGTTGATTTGCTGGGGATTCGAGCGAGGTCAGCACCTCGTCGACTGCACAATCGGTGCCCCAGCCTAGGAATTGGGGCCTGGCTGGCCTTTCTCTCCCCCTCTCGTTCTCTGCTGCCGCCGCCCCTGGCTGCCGCTGTCTCTCTGGTCTTCTCTGCGTATCCGAGATGCTGTTTGTGTGTGCACGTACAGGCCTTTCGACCCTGTGCTGCAATCAGGGAGTCCCCAAGCTGATTGCTGGGGGAAGGGCTCCCCTTGTGTTTTGACATCGGCGGGAGCCTTGTGCTTCCCGAACGCCCTGCGGCCAACTGTACCCCAAGCTTGATTTCCCCGTCGAGTCTTCGAAGAGTGCGTAGAATCTTCCGCTGATCCACGGAGCAGTCCACGTACTTCTCGTAGCTTCGATCGGGACATCACTGTTTGCTAGAAAAATAGTCCCAAGACTATGTTTGGATCATTTTTGCCTATTTTGGGGTATCTTTTATGTTTCGTCGAAAATCCCCCTGTAGGGGGACAGGCCCGACGTAACGATGGCCTCCAGAGCACCCGTCCGAGGCCCAGCAGGCCCCCCGGGGGACCCGAGGCGGTGGCCGAAGCGGGGGCGCCTCGGGCCGGGGCCGCCTCCGACGCACGGGGACGGAACTTCGAGCGGGCCCGCGCGGCCGAGTAAGAAGCCTCCGGGCGGCCTGCGGCGCCTTCGCTCGGGGAGCGCCGACCGCGCGAGAGGAGGCCCGCGAAGGGGGGGAGGACAAGGACGAGGGCGAGGACGAGGACGAGGACGAGGACGAGGGCGAAGACGAGGACGAGGACGAGGATGAGGACGAGGACGGGGACGAAGACGAGGACAAGGACGAGGGGCCCTCGTCCTCCGCGCGGGACGTTCCAGGAGGGGCCTCGGCTCCGAGGCCTCGGCCGGCAGGGGAGCAGAACGACGCCGCCTCCGCCGGCGGAGGTAAAAGTCTGTGCAGTTCACTCCCTCCTCCTCCTCCTCCTCCTCCTCCTCCTCCTCCTCCTCCTCCTCCTCCTCCTCCTCCTCCTCCTCCTCCTCCTCCTCCTCCTCCTCCTCCTCCTCTTCCCTCTCTCCCTCCTCTCTCGGCGGTCGTTGGGATGTCGCCCCCACCGGCCCTCGTTGAGGCGGGGTGCGGGGCACTCTTGGCCTCCCAGGTGGGGTACGAGCAGATGGGGTCGGAGCATCGCGCCGCATCGCCAATGCATCGACGACGCGGCTCGATGCGGAGACCGAGTTTCCCCACGCCGATGCATCGGCGATGCATCGGCGATGCGGCGCGATGCCTCGGCCCCATCCACTCGGACCCCATCTGGGAGGCACGCGGGCACGCAGGAGGCGCGGGCAGAGCCGCGCCTCCGACGGCACGAAAAAAAAAGATCTCTGCCGACACTTCAGAGGTCTCTGCCGGCGGCGAGGGCGCCAGCGATGGCCGGGTGCTGCCAGGGGTGGCCTCGACCCAGGGCTCGAGTGGGGGATCGACCACAGAGCTGCTGTACCCCGAGCTTGATTCCCCCGTCGAGTCTTCGAAGAGTGCGCAGAATCTTCCGCTGATCCACGGAGCAGTCCACGTACTTCTCGTAGCTTCGATCGGGACATCAATGCTTGCTAGAGAAATAGTCCCAAGGCTATGTTTGGATCATTTTTTGCTTATTTTGGGGGTCTCTTTTATGCTTCGTCGAAAATCCCCCTGTAGGGGGACAGGCCCGACGTAACGATGGCCTCCAGAGCACCCCGCCCGAGGCCCAGCAGGCCCCCCGGGGGACCCGAGGCGGTGGCCGAAGCGGGGGCGCCTCGGGCCGGGGCCGCCTCCGACGCGCGGGGACGGCACCTCGAGCGGGCCCGCGCGGCCGAGTGAGAAGCCTCCGGGCGGCCTGCGGCGCCTTCGCTCGGGGAGCGCCGACCGCGCGAGCGGAGGCACGCGAAGAGGGGGAGGACGAGGACGAGGGCGAGGACGAGGACGAGGACGAGGACGAGGACGAGGGCGAAGACGAGGACGAGGACGAGGATGAGGACGAGGACGAGGACGAAGACGAGGACAAGGACGAGGGGCCCTCGTCCTCCGCGCGGGACGTTCCAGGAGGGGCCTCGGCTCCGAGGCCTCGGCCGGCAGGGGAGCAGAACGACGCCGCCTCCGCCGGCGGAGGTAAAAGTCTGTGCAGTTCACTCCCCCTCCTCCTCCTCCTCCTCCTCCTCCTCCTCCTCCTCCTCCTCCTCCTCCTCCTCCTCCTCCTCCTCCTCCTCCTCCTCCTCCTCCTCCTCCTCCTCCTCTTCCCTCTCTCCCTCCTCTCTCGGCGGTCGTTGGGATGTCGCCCCCACCGGCCCTCGTTGAGGCGGGGTGCGGGGCGCTCTTGGCCTCCCAGGTGGGGTCCGAGCAGATGGGGTCGGAGCATCGCGCCGCATCGCCGAGGCATCGACGATGCGGCTCGATGCGGAGCCCGATTTTCTTCACGCCGACGTCGCCGACGCATCGCCGACGTCGCCGAGGCCCGCCCAGGAGAAAGCAGTGCGTTGGGATGCAGGCCGTCGGGAGCGGGCTGCGTCCTCGGAGGTGTCCAGAGGCCCAAGAAGGCCAGAGACGTCCGACAGCCTCGATCCTCGATCTTCGCCTCGTCAACCAGAGAGCACGTGGAAGGGCCGACGCGAAGGAGGTCATGCGGCCCGAGAGGTTGAAAGGAGGAGGAGGAGGAGGAGGAGCATCCTCTTCTCCGTCCATGTCCTCCTCGTCCTTGAAAGACCACGCCCGGGAGCCTGTGCGAAAGAGGTCTAGCAACCCAGACTTGTCGTCGCTTGATTTTCATGCGTGGCCTCCAGAAACCTCGATTCCTCCCAGTGGAGTAGTGTTTCAGCCCAGATTGGTTTTCGACGGTCCCAGTGCCCGAAGCGGGCTTCGGACGCCGAAGTTGAGAAAGGACACCGATATCGAAAATGGCATCGGAAATCTGCGTGCGGCCGGCCTCCTCCGAGAGCCCGCCCCGAGAGGTTGCCGCCGAGGCCCCCCAGCTCGCGCCAGATCCGGGAAGCATCCACGAGCGGCTGGCCCGCGAGGGCGTCGACCATCGATCTCCGGCGTCGACGGGAGGAAAAGATCTCTCAGGAGGGAAAAAAACACACAGACACAATTAATCGTCGACTCCCAGGAAGTATGGGAAAATATGAGAATTGGGCGGGAAGACAAAAACCCAGAAAATACGGGAAAAGATGGGTCTCTTTTTGTGTATTTATTTGCGTGTCCCAGGGCCCCTTCAGTCTCCGACGTCGCAGGCTGCGCCGCGAGCTCAGCTGCGCGCGGCCCCACCAGACCGGCCTCACAACAAGGCGGGCTCCGAGGGCAGCGGGGGCCTCGAACCCCGCGGCGGCCTTCGCCCGCGGAGGGCCCGGGGAGCCCCCCGAGAACGGCGGGCAGCCTCGGGGCCCGCTGCCCTCGGGGCCGCTGTCCTGCCCTGCGAGGTGCACGGCGCCGAAGGAGTGATTCTGCCTCGCCCCGTCCCCCCCTCCTCCTCCTCCTCCTCCTCCTCCTCCTCCTCCTCCTCCTCCTCCTCCTCCTCCTCCTCCTCCTCCTCCTCCTCCTCCTCCTCCTGGGCAGAAACACGCGGCCTCGGAGGCCAGGAACTCGTCCACGTCCCCACTCTGGCTCCTCGTCGGGTCTCGGGGCGCGAGCGGGGGCATGGCGAGGACTTCGATCGCGCATGGCAGGGCCCCCCCGATGGGCGACGGAGGAGCACGAAGGCTCCGAAAGCACATCGGACTTCGGTCCTCGACCTTGGCGCGCACTTGCTTCCGCACGCCCACGCTCGATCCCCTCGAGCTTCGATCGCCGTGCCCGCGCGCGCGCGCCAGAGGCCTGGGTGCCAGCTCTGTCCAGGCGGTCGTGGCGGTCCCCGGCGGGCAGAGGGCGGCGCGGGTGGACGCGGCGGGCCGCCCTTCGCTCGTGCGGTGCGCCCGCGGCCGCCGTGCCCTGTCTGGTGGGGAGTCGGCGGGGGAGAGCGCCGGCACAGGCACACAAGAGCTTCTGATCTCCACGAGCATACAGGTCGGTCGTTGAGAGGAGGTCTTTGCGGGTTCCCAGGCCCAGTCTGCTTCTGGCGCTTTGCCTTACTTCAAGAACCGACCTGTGTGTTTGTTGTGTTCTGTTGTTCCCTGGGAGGGCCTGAACCCAATCTACTTGATCCGCCTTCCCACTTCATGTGCTTGCCTGCTTCTTCCGACCGAGGAGTATCGGAAGGCATGGGCAACGAGGGTGGGGAGAAGGAGCATCCGAGAGGTGTGGAAAGATTTAGTGGGCACCCTGGAAGTAGTGCCGACTCACTTGGGTCCCCCTGGGCTCCCTGAGGGTGGGTCGGGTCTGGACGAAAGACGAAAGGGGGGGGCCAGGGAGAGGGGGGGTACGAAATCTGCTGCATGCTGTTGGTTTCGGCCCCGCCGCCGGGCCGACTCCTCGATACACGGGCGCCAGGGGGCGCCAGGAAAACCCAGCTACGTGGACTTATTGTCTGCCCTGCCCTTTGCTATCCTACCCTCTCGCCCCCCCTTTCGTCTCCCCCCGAACAACCCGACATAATCCCCTTCCTCAAAAAAAACAGCATCAAAAAACACTATACATATTTGCATACATGTAAACAACAAATAGCTGTCCAAAACAAAACAAATTGAGAAACACTGAAAAGTATGCAAAAAAACAAAATAACGGGGGGGGGGGAAAAAAAAAAAACAAAAAAAAAAAAAAAAAAAAAAAACGACGTCGCGGGTTGTCCCAGGGGGGTCCCTGCGCCCGAGCGCGCCGCGAGCTCTGACGAGGGCGTCCGGCACCCCTCGGCGGGGCGCCGCGGCCCGGGCCAGCGGGCCCGTGGCGGGGCCCCGGAGAGCCGACGCCCCGACACGGACTGTCGGCCACGCGCAGGGGCCTGGCATCGCCTGGACGTGTGCATTCAGGAGGGAAAGAAACACACAGACACAATTAATCTTCGATTTCCTGGAAAATATGGGAAAATATGGGAAGTGGTGGGAAAGACAAAACCCCAGAAAATATAGGAAAATATGGGGAATATTTTTATTTGTGTGTATTTATTTGTGTGTCCTGGGGCCCCTTCATGCATTTCTTCTCGGCGCGAACCATCGAGGACCATCCTCGACCAGCGAGCAAAAAAAACACGCACGAAACCGAACAATGCTCGGGAAGTGGACGTCCGAGCGACGGGTTGGGGGGGTGGGTAGAGTCAGACCGATGCAGAAGGTCGAGGTCGGTCCGGGCAGGGTCTCCCGGTGTTCTTCGCCTTCGTTGGATGTTCTCGTGCATCCTGGGGAGGGCATTCTTGGATGCTCTGTTTGTTTTGGCCGACGGAGGGTCTCATGAGTTCTTGAGGGATGTTCTTCTGGCCTAGGTCCAACTGTAGGGGGAGGGGGGAAGGCTTCTTAGAAGGAGGCTTCCCCCCTCCCCCTACCCCCTCGTGCGCGCCGCCAGAGATATCCGACGCGCTCCAACAAAAACTGGAGCGGCCCGTTTTGGGTCGTTCTCGGCCTCCCGGTGCATCGCTGGGCTTCGGGCCCGTCAAAAAACGAGTCGGGACGAAAAACCAGCCCCTGGGGAAGGGGTCCAGACCCCTTGGGCCCAACGTCGAAAGACTGGAGCGGCAGGATGTCTGGGGCCGATGACGTTTGGGCCCCCACGTCTGATTGAGAGCGCTGTTCCCAATATACACACCCTGAGCATGGAGGTATTGTTATCGGTGTCATACCTCTGCCTACATCCTCACAGGAGGTGTTCGACCGTCCCTTTCGCGCGCAAGTGGGCGAGGCCTCTCAAGTAGAACGTTGGCTTGGAACGCAGACGCGTCTGCCTTTGCAGCCTCTTGACCGCCGCGTGCTCGCGGACGTCGCATCCAGGCTTCCAAATGGGGAGGGCATCAAGGTGTGTGGACGCGTTTCTCGTCACCCTCGTGACCACCGCGTGTCAGCAGGCATCGCATCCTTGGCCTTCCAAGGGCGAGCCGCCAGAGGGCTCACGCGGGCCCGTTCACGCCCAGATTGGCGAGATCTCTGAGTAGAAAGCACGTTTGGGAACGTAGGAGTGCTCGGGTCGTCCCAACCGGCCGCCGTTTTCTGGCCTGAATACCAAGCAGCAGTGTTAGGGGGGAGGCTCAGGGTGGGACGCATCGACCCCCAATCACCCATTCATCGCCGGTAGGGGCCCGATAGCCCACCCTGCGTTCTGTCCCTCTTCTCAGTCTCATGGCCACAACGTGATGGCAGACATCGCACCCAGGCCTCCCAGTGGGGGATATACCAAGGTGCGTACGTCCATCGGGCCCCGTTCCGTTCGCGCGCAGATCGGCGGAAATTCTGCGATACCACTCTGCGATGCTGTAGACGTGTCTCTCTTCATGGCCTCATGGCTACCGACCGCGTGCTGGCAGGAATCCCATCTGGGGCCTCCCGAGGGTGAGCCACCAGCGGGTACTTCAGTGGCCCAGTCGCGCCCAGATTTGCGGGACCTCTCAGTTAGAGCGCCCGCTTACGTCACATACTGTGATTTACCCAGACTTCCGATGACTTACACTCGTGGCCACCCATAGCCACACTCAACGAATTTAAACGACCCACACTGAGACCCATCCGTATACCACCTTCATATTCAGCGGTCAAACCCATTCAGCGTCCACTGGTCATACTAAGGCACACACATTTACAGGCGTATGCATACCCAGGCTCCTGTTCAGACTATTTCGCATTGAATCATTCGTTCACGTCCACACTCATCCATAATCAATGGCTTGCATGCAGACCCATTTGTTCCCACATGTGCCGCCGTTCAGGCGCATTCATATCCAGACTCAATCCTACCCAGAAGCATTCATCCAGTCACTCATACTCAGACCCACCTCCGCTCCGACTCACCCAGGCCCAACCATTGATTCTCAGACTCGCCCACACCCAGGTTCATTCCTATTCATACCCAGGTCAAATTTCGGCGCTCTAATACCGAGTCGCTCACATTCAGTCGCTCATTCTCCGACTCGTTCACACCCCCATTCAGACTCATTCTCATTCAGACCCATCCGTATTAAGATGTTTTCATACTCAGACTTGCTCGCACTTGACCCCTCAAGCCCGACCACTACTTAGTTCTCAGACTCCTTCTCACCTACACTCAGTCACACCCAGCCACTCTGAATCAGACTCCTTCCTGTTCAGACCCACCCGCACTCATACTCATACGCACACCCATTCATGACAAGGCCAAGTCAAGTTCAGGCCAACTCTTATACAGACTCACTTGACCTCAGACTCATCCTCAGCCTCACTTCCAACCAGGCTCACTTCTACAAATAAGCTCGTCAAGGTAAACGATGCAAGGAGATGCAAATATGAGCCCCCCGACTCGAATCATTCAAGCCCGACATCTGGCCTCATGTTTTGTGTCTGGACTGAATGTCCGGGCCCCAGGACATCCAGTCACAACATGGAACGAAACACCGGTCCCGGGGAAGGGGTCGAGACTTCTGGACGGAGGGGCGCATCAGGAAGCATGATCTCGAATGGCTGGCAACGCGTAAGAGGAGCTTCTCCTGAAGCGGCTCGAAGGGCCGCACCGGTGTCGAGCGCGGAAGGACGCCTCTAGGGAGGCTCCCCGACCTTCGGTCGGGGTCCAGCGAACTGCATCGCAGTGGCCATAGTTTCCCTCGCCTCAAAGTGCTGTGCGTCCGTCTGAGAGAGCAGGCGGTTCGTCAGGAGCGAAAAAAAGACCTACACGTACATGAATCCACGTTGCTTTCGAGATTACGCGTTGCGCGAACGTTCGTATCACGTGGTTGGTTTCGCGGACTTGGGGGCCGTATTAATGTAGGTGGTTGGCGCGTACGTCTTTTGCGGGCTCCCCACATAGGCGTGATTAAAGTTTCGCCCAATTCCGCCACTGCGGCGATCTCGGGCACGATGCAGAAGAATGATAAAAGATGCAGAGGCACACAAGACCAACGGAGTTCGAGCCTTGTTCGAACTTGCTTTTCGAGGAAGTCCAGCGCGAGACGCTCATTTTTCTATTGTTTGGAACCGAGCTCGAACCTAGTTCGAACCTGGTTTCCGAGGAAGTCCCGGACGAGACCCTCACCTTTCTATTGTTTGGAATCGAGCTCGAACTTGGTTCGAACCTGTTTTTCGAGGAAGTCCCGCACGAAACGCCAACTTTTCTATTGCTTGGAACCGACTTTGGACCTTGGTTCGAGCCTGTTTTTCGAGGGAGTCCCGCGCGAAACGCCAACTGTTCTATTGCTTGGAACCGACTTTTGACCTTGGTTCGAACCTGCGTTTCGAGGAAGTCCCGCACTAAACGCCCACTTCTCCGGCGTTCTGAACCGATTTGGGAACTTGGTTCCAATTTGCTTTTCGAGGGAGTCCCGCACGAGACGCCCACTTTTCTATTGTTTGGAACCGATTTCTATTGCTTGGAACAGATATGGAAACTTTGTTCGATGTTTTTGGGTTGTGAAGAAGCCCCACGCGATTCGCCGTTTTGGAACCGCAATCCCGTGTAGCCGAATAGCATTTCATTCGGTAATAGAAACCCGAGGTTGCCCGCCCCTCGCTGGCACAGCTCCACTCCCGTCACATTGCACCAGGCGCCGCGCGCCTAACGGGCACCTCCGATCCACGCTGCGCCAGCGTGTCAAAAATTTGGCGATCTTTTATCACAGCACATTAGTTAGGCGCGGATGGCGGCAGACGGGCGTCGGCATTTCGGAATCCCAACGAGGGTCACAGGACGCGGGGGAATTCGATCATTCGGTTCCAGATTCCTCGGGCTCTGATTGGCAGTTCGGGCGTCTTGGTATCAAGATTGCCGATTCTGGCAGCGTAGCTCTCATATGACTTGAGCGCTGTGGACCCCAATGTCAGGTGTTCGATGTGTTATTGCAATTGTTATCGCAGTGGGGCCGCTCTTCGAGGCAGCATCCAACGGCCACGGCGCGACCTTCGTGCTCGCCCGCGCAGCGTCTCTGCAAGCCGCAGCATAGTTGTGGAGCAAGTGGCGCAGACGATCAGAATCATGATCACTAACAGAATCAGGGTCACACGGCGGGATAACAAAATCAGAGTCAGGGTCAGAAGGCGTTATGCTCATAATCATAAGCAGAACTGAATCAGTGTCTGGATGGAGAACAGCCTGAATCAGAATCCGAATCAGGGTCAGCAGGCGGGATGACACCGCAGGAAGCATGTGTAACAACGTGTTGATCCGCGGCGTCTTGGGCCCGAGCTGCGGTCAGGTTCCCACAGGGTTGATTACTGCCGCGCTAACAAAAACCAAAAAACAACAGCAATAACAACAACAACAACAACAACAACAACAGCAACAACAACAACAACAACAGCAGCAGCAGCAGCAACAGCAACAACAACAACAACAACACAATAATAGCAGCAACAGCAACAACAACAACCACAACAACAGCAACAACAGCAACAGCAGCAGCAGCAACAACAACAACAACACCAACAACAACAACAAAAACGCAGGGGGGCGGCAGGGCGGTTGAATCGGATGTCTCCGCCCGCGGCTTGCCCTCCCCGTCCTCTCCCGCCGCCCGGCCGCTCCTGTGCCGGAGCAGCGCAGCAGCAGCCGCCCTGCCGGAGCTTGCCCGCAGCTCGCTCGGACCCGAGGCGCCGCCGATCGACGAGGTATTGGTGCGCACGCTGCCTGGCCTGCGGTGTCATCCCGCCTGCTGACCCGGATAGCGAGTCTGATTCAGGCTGTCCTGACCGGGGATGCCGCCTCGACGTTTTATGGGTCCGGCTTGCACGCGTCCGTGGGACGGCACGCCACCATGCGAACTTTTTTTGATCCGCGGGTCGAGAGCGCACCTCTTCCGGTCGAAGCTAAGCGGGCCGCGCACAGCTTTAATTAACAAGGGGAGGCAGAAGGAGGGCCTCACGTCAAGGCCAGGAGGGGGCAAAGCCCCCGAATCAGGCGGTGCCGAAGACGATGTGCCTGCAAAGGAACGCCTTGTACAGGAACCCGACGGCAAAGTACCGGAAGAAGCAAAATGCTGTGGTTGGTGGTGCCGTCAGCGGCGCGTCATGTACACCAGCCTCACCACCGTGCGAACAGAAGGGGTATATCTCGAGGCGGCCCCGTGGCAAAGGCTTTTCAACCACACCCTCTGAGACACTGCCCATGGACGCTGGTCGTCGCCACCCGTGGCACCGCGCGCAGCACTCGTCGGTCGATTTGCGAGGACAGACCACGAACACGTCACATCTCGCTGATGCCGCGGTGCCGCGGCCCCCCCGGAAGGGCTCCCTCCTGCCTCTTGGGGTCATTTGGGGATTGGGTTTGGACCAAAGCCTCGGCACACAAAGCCATCTAGAAGGGCAGTTCGAGGCCACGTGGAAGATCGCATCTTCGAGGGCTCGCGCAAAGAGTCTGGAAAGCTCCTCCCCGAGCTCATCTCAAGTAACGAGCTGCTCTCGAAGTGGGGAATCTAAGTCCCCAGACCCAGGCGTCCACCTCCCAAGGTAGTGGGCCGGCCAGGCTCTTTCACCGGTCCGCGAGGGGCCATGGGCCTCATGGGTAGGCAGGCAGCAGTGCAGCGCCGCAGGGCCACAGCACCCGAAGGCCGCCTGGACTAGCACTCGAGTGCTCCATCCTCCTCCTCCTCCTCCTCCTCCTCCTCCTCCTCCTCCTCCTCCTCCTCCTCCTCCTCCTCCCCTCCTCCCTCCTCCTCCTCCTCCTCCTCCTCCTCCTCCTCCTCCTCCTCCTCCTCCTCCTCCTCCTCCTCCTCTCCTCCTCCTCCTCCTCCTCCTCCTCTCCTCCTCCTCCTCCGCCTCCCTCCCCCTCCTCCTCCCTCCCCCTCCCTCCCCCTCCTCCTCCTCCTCCTCCTCCTCCTCCTCCTCCTCCTCCTCCTCCTTGGGCCCAAATACGCACCAGGTCACCCAGTACGGACGCGTCGCAGCACTGGTTGCGCACCGGTGCGAGACACCGTCCAACATGTGCGGCGTCCAGTATATATCCGCTCAGGATGGGGCCCAGGACTTGACCAGCACGTTGCATTATTGTGATTGTGGTCATGCTTCGCAGAATATATATATATATATATATATATATATATACATATATATATACATACATACATACATACATATACATACATACATACATACATACATACATACATACATACATATATACATACATACATACATACATACATACATACATACATACATACATACATACATACATACATACATACATACATACATACATACATACATACATATGTACATACAGCCAAATATACATTCCTGCACTGGCACACACGTGATATGCACGATGTACTTACCGAATTGCCGAGGTAACGCTGCGCACCCACTACGTAAGCACACACTCATCTGCACGGCGGGCTTCATTGTGTTAGCACCGTCGTTCCCCGCACAAGCCTTGCCATACACTTCTAGTATGTAGCGCCGCCCCTGGTGTTCAGGAGGCCTCTGGAGATCCCCCGAGGCCCCGGCAGGATCTTCTGGGGCCCTGGGAAGCCTCTGCAAGCCAAAATTATTCCAAAACCTCGTTCGATCAGCATCCCTTTTTCTCCAACGCCGCAATTGTGTGTGGCACAGCCCCCCATGGGATCTCGACCCCTTTCCCAGAGCCGGCTTTTCATCCTGAGTCGTGTTGTGATTTTCCCGCGGCCAGGAGACGGCATTTGGAGGCCGAAAGCGTTCAAACACCGGCCGTCGCGATTCTGTTGTTCGACGCCTGCAGTCGAGGCTTCTGGAAGGCCCCAGCGCCCGCGCCCCCGGCAGGCGCGACCTGAGTTGTTACTTCTCCCTCGCGGGGCGGCTCGGCAGCCCCCGCCGGCGGCTGCGTTGGCGTCTGCGTGGGCGTGAACGAATTTTTGTTGATGCTATTATTCCTCAAATTCCTGCTGCTGCTGCTCCCTCATTACCATTTCCATTATCATCGTCATCCTCCTTTTCCTCATGCTCCTCCTCCTCCTCCTGCTCCTCCTTCTGCTCCTCCTCCTCCTCCTCCTCCTCCTCCTCCTCCTCCTCCTCCTCCTCCTAGTCCTCCTCCTCCTCCTCCGCCTCCTCCTCCTCCTCCTCCTCCTCCTCCTCCTCCTCCTCCTCCTCCTCCTCCTCCTCCTTCCCCCCCCGTCCCTCCCTCCCTCCCTCCCTCCCTCCCTCGTCCTCTGCCTCCTCTGTCTCCTCTTTCCTTTCCCTCCTCGGACAAGGAAGAGGAAGAAGAAAAGAGGAGGGAGAAGGGGGGCTCTTCCTCATTCTCCTCCTCCTCCTCCTCCTCCACCTCATCCTCCTCCTCCTCCTCCTCCTCCTCCTCCTCCGTCTCCTTTTCCACTTCGTGAACGAACTTGCTCTTGCTCCTCCTCCACCTCCTCCTCTTCCTCCTCCTTCTTCTCTTCCTGACTTGCCTTGAACCTGTTTCGGGCGTCTGGGGACCTTGGGGACATCAGGAGACCAGATCCTGCTCCTCCCCTCCTGTGCTTCGTCCTTGCACGGTTTCCGACCCGCGTCCGGCTTGTGGAGACGACGGCGACCCCCGAAGGCCCAGAAGAGCAGAGGCGAGCGAGAAGGGGGCGGAAGAGGTAAAGGGAGGCTGAGAGGCGAGGGGGGCAGATGCCGGAGGAGATCGCGAGGGCAGCTGGGAGCTGGAGGCGGCTGGAGCAGCAGAGGGGAGTTGGCCGACTCCAGAAACCTCGGGCAGTCGCGCAAGGAGTTGGTTCATGTTGCAGGTTGCGTGCCCGGTTTCTGCCGTGCTCCGTTCCCTCGAGGGGGAAAATAATTATGATCATCAGAGAAAGAATAATCATATGTTTATCATTTGTTGTAAACAAAAGATACCCCCCCCCCCAAAGGAAAAACAAAAACAAAAAAAAAAAAAAAACGAGGGAGGGATGTCAATCGTTCGACTCCTCGACGGCGAGGCTCCAGGAGCAGGGAGCGTCGGTCTCGCTGCTCTCGTGGCTCTCTCTCTCTCTCTCTTTCTCTCTCTCTCTCTATATATGTCTATCTCTCTCTCTCTCGCTCTCTCTCTCTCTCTCTCTCTCTCTGTTGCGCTCGTGCAGCAGGGAGCGCCGCTGCCGCCGCCCTCGCGGTTGCGTGCCCTGCGCTGCTCCAGGAGCAGGGAGCTTCGACGTTGTCGTCTTCGCGGTTCCGTTCTCTGTGCTGCTCCAGGAGCAGGGAGCTTCGCTTTCGCTGGTTCTCGCTCCGCGGAGATCCCCGCTGATCTCCAGAGGGTCTGGGGGTCTCTCCCGAAGCCCGAAGAAGCCCACGGAAGTGTCCAGATGCCCCTGCTGGCGACCCCGAAGACGGTCGGAGATGCCCAAGAAGTTCGGCCCCCTGTCTTCGCATGAAGAGCAGGAGAAGCGGAAGGCCAGCGGGTGTCTTTTGATACCCAAAGAGATTCAGAAATATTATATGCGTTTGACGTTCGATCTACGCGGAGGAGGAGGAGGAGGAGGAGGAGGAGGCGGAGGAGGTCGCTTCCACTTGCATCCAGCCGTGGCAGCGTGGACGTTCCAAGAGGCTACCAGGAAGGCGAAACCGTGGGAGCGAGCGCGAAGAGGAGGAGGAGGAGGAGGATCAGGCAGGCCTAGGAAGAGAGTGATGTTTTGCCCGAGCGTTCTACGGTCAGGAGCTTTGGCTCAGCGTGTCGCTCCGCCGTCTCTGGCCCACCGCGCTTCGGCGCGACGCGCTGCCCACGCCCCCGTCTCCCGAGCGCCGATGTCCGCGGCCTCTCCGAGCCTCCCGCCCCGCGGAGCGGAGCAGCACGCCAGCCGCTTGCAGGGGAAGGCGCGTCGCCGTGGCCGCCGGGGCGACCCGCGATCCGAGAGGTCCCGACCGCCAAACGCCTTCGCAGCGTCCTCTGGGATGCTCCGGAGCGGCCGCGCCGCCCGTTGCATCGTCCGGGCCCGCCTGCGCTCCGAGGTTTCGAGCACGGTCTCCCCCACCTCGTCGTCTTCCTGCCGTCGTCTTGAAGGAGGAGGAGGAGGAGGAGGAGGAGGAGGAGGAGGAGGAGGAGGAGGAGGAGGAGGAGGAGGAGGAGGAGGAGGGGGAGGAGTGGAGGAGGGAGGTTGACCTTGACCTGGACCTTGATTCACCCTGAGCGCTATCCCGGCTTGATTTGGCCGTGCACTGTGTACGGTGATGTTGCAGAAGCTCCGTCGGCAGAAGATGCATCTATCTCTGGAAGTCGTGCAGTGAACACTGAGCGGAATTGTCCTCAGAGGTCGGGGCCTCGAGGTGACGGGACGGTGCCTTGCGGGGCCGTCTCGGTCACAGGGCGCGTCGAGGGAGATTCGAATAAGGGGTCGATTACAGAACTGATTTACCACAGAATTGTTTTCTCGTCGAAGCTACGAAAATACGTATGATGTTCGTCGATCTACGAACAGTCTGCGTATGTTTCGTCGATTCGTCGAAATGGGTAAACCAGTTCTTCACGCTTCGCGTATGCACACCAGCCTATTCAAAAACCTTGCCTATGAGAGTCGACAGGAAAAGGGCCGAAGAGACACATTTAGTGAAACAAAACAGGCAACCAGGATGGACATAAAGATCTTTGGGAGCAACGGGGTGGCTTTGGAGGGCCTCTTCTGGTCATCCCTGGGACCTGCGCGGAGGCGATGGATGGATGAGGAGGAAGACGACGACGACTACGACGACGCGAAAGAGAAGGAAAAGGAAGAGGGAGAGGATGAGGGCAAGAACGAGGACGATGAGGAGGAGGAGGAGGAGGACAACGGGGAGACGAGGACAGAGCTCTCAAAATCGCCTCTTGGAGTTGTCTTGGGACTGTTTGGGGATCTTGGGGTCATCTTGGGGATCTTTTGGAGGGTCTCGGGGCCCTCTTGGAGCCCTCTTGGGGGTCCCTTGGGAGCCCTGGAGGCCATCTTGAGGCCATCTTGGAGGCCATCGATCAAAATTGGGGGCCTCTTGGGTCCCTCTTGGGCCTCGCTTGGGCCTCGCTTGGGCCATCTTGGGGCCCCAGAGGCGCATCGGAAACTAAAAGGCGAGAAGTCAAGAATCAGTGATGTGCATTGGATGTTTTACAGAGTTTGGCCTCTTGGGAGGTCCTGAGGGAGCTCCGAGAGCACTTGGAACCGTCTTGTGGCCCTCGTCGGGTCTCTTGGAGGTATATCGGAAGCTATCTTGAACCATCCACCTTGCCCCCCCACACACACACCCAACCAAAAAAACAGGGAGGGGGTAGGTAAACCTCTCGGAAGGGAAGAGGTCTCTGGAAGAGGAGAGAAAGAACTCGTTAGACCACCTTAGCCCAGAGGGCCGGTGGGATTCCGTAGTCGATCTCCTACTCGAGAGATGGAGGAGGAGGAGCAGCAGCAGCAGCAGCAGCAGCAGGCAGCAGCAGCACATAGAGGGAGCAGCAGCAGGCAGCAGGAGCTGCAGGAGGCGCGAGGACCAGCGCCGAGCGCCGAGGTCGGGAGCAGCGCCACCGAGGACGCCGTGCGCATATCGGGCGCCCTCGCGCAGGGCGGGGAGCCGCTGCTGCGCCTCGCGGCGGCTGCCTCGCGCAGGGACGCCAGGCTCTCCGAGGAGGGAAGAAGAAGAAGAAGAAAGAATTGCACCGACAGAAACCTTTGGAGCTCCGCGCCGATGTCTTGGATCGGTGCTGGACGACACCCCTGGCGGCCGTTCCGGCGCCGCCCCTGGCGCGCTCCCACGCGCCTGGGAGGGGTATCCAGTACCGACCCAAGAAATCCGCGCGGAACTCCGAGAATTGATGTTTATGCGTTCTTCCGCTCCTTCAGAAGAGGTACCAGTACCACTACCCTTGCCTCAATTTCCCCTTTGGGGGCCTCCTGGGAGGCCCTCGTCGCCACCGCTGGGTGCGCCCATAAGTTCTCGTCGGCACGCACCCCAGGAGAGGCACGGGGAGTGCAGCAGTCTCGGTGCCCTGGGAGTCCCCCGAGGTTCCTCCTGCAGTTCCTGAGGGGCGAGGCCACCAAGGGCGGGGCAGCCGCGCGCCTGGCCCCCCTCCCTCGCCAGTGCTCATCTGTTGTGGCTCGCGCGCGTGCCGTGCGCGCCATGAGCGCCCAAAGGGGGAGGGGAGGAGGAGGAGGAGGAGGAGGAGGAGGAGGAAGAGGAGGAGAGGTCGCGAAGCCGGTCCGCGGCCCTTGTGCGATGAGGGGTGGAGGCCGGTGCTGCACGGTGCAGCGCTGCACCGCCCAGGCCGAAGCAGCGGCCCGAAGCAGGGGCAGCATCGGGGCACGTGGATGTTTGCTGCGGCAAGATCCTCCCCATCCTCGGCTCGACGGGCGCCGACCTGCACTAGGGGAACAAAAAGTGACATAAGCATAAAAACTCGGAGATCCGCGCGGATTTCTCGGATCGGCGCTGGGGCCCCCCGGCGGCGCCTCCGGCGCTTCCCCTGGCGCGCTCCGCGCGCCAGGAGGGGGTCCAGCGCCGATCCGAGAAATCCGCGCGGACCTCCGAGTTTTTATGTTTATGTCACTTGTTGTTCCCCTATGTACGCCTGAACCGATCCTGGCTGATCCAACCCATTGGTTCAGGATCGGTGGATGTGCCCTCCTGGCCAAGCCGACGGGACGTGTGCACCTTCCTGCCTCGCTGGCAGTGGGTGGGTAAAAAAGTTCCCATACCTATGGCGGTCGGGCACACGAGTTTGGAAGGAAAGACAAGCGCAAAATTCAGGTGCCCCCAACAAATCAAATTGGGAGAGCCCATAGTTGATCCCCCGCGCGTGCCTCGCGCCCACCCCTATCTGCTTTGAGATGGAGGGGCCCCAGGCATTCGGCATTGATTTCATATAGCTTGATACCGATTGGTCTTGCGCTTTGTGGGCCCTGGAAACGGCAGGGCCGTTTTTTCACCGTTTCCAAAAAAATGTCCCTTGAAAATGGAAACGGCAAAAAAAAACGGCGACCAGAAACAGCAAAAAAACGGCTCCAGGATTGGAACCGGAGCCGGAATCGGTCAAAAAACGGCGACGGAACCGGTAAAAAAACGGCGTCGGAACCGGCAAAAAAACGGCAGAACGGAATTGGTAAAAAAACGGCCTCGTCGTTTCCAGGGCCCATTAAGGTCTTGCGTGGTTATCGTAAACATGGATTGTCCTTCACCGTTCCTCCATGCCTCAATCTCGTTGTTCCCCAGGTTCGAGGATCGAGATTTTTGGCTGTGCTCGGCTGTTTCGGGAGGCCTCCAGAGGCGCTCAGAAACCTCCAGAGGCCTCCGTGGGACCTCCGCGGACCTCTGGAGAACGACGTCGGCCATTGACTTCATAGAACGCGGCCAAAGTTGCATTCGGCAGCCCCCGCGCCACCCAGCAGGAGGGGAAATTGGCGCATGGCGCGGCAAAGGGAAGGAGGGAGAGAGGGCGACCACACAAAGCAGCAGGAGAAGAGAGGAAGAGAGGAGGAAAGATAGGGCGGAGGCAAGCTAGGTGCGCAAGCGTCATCTCTTAAGTCCTACCCCTCCCTCCAATCCCTTACCATTGCGTAGATATCTTCTCTATTCGTACAGTCGGATGTCGAACCGGGCAATCATCCCGGGAGGGTACGCGATGTACGGTATTGCACGGCATAGCACGGCATAGAAGAGCATGGCCACAGCCGACGTCGTCGCGTCGAGAGCGCGATTCATATCGACAACAGGGTCAGAGAAACCAGAAATGACACAGGACGGGAAATGCAAATGGACGGTTTGGAAAGCGGGAAGCGCAAAATGAGATCAGCGTTGCAGCGGGAGCGCGATTTCGAAGGACCGCAACCGCGGAAATAAGACCAGCGCTTCAGTGGGAGCACGATGTGGAAGAACTGGAAGCGCGGAACCGAAGCCAACGCTACAGCAGGAGCACGATTTGGAAGAACCGAAACAATGAAATAAGATCAGCGCTGCAGCGGGCACATGATTTGGAAGGATTGAGGACGGGAAAATGGAGCCAACTCTGTAGCGGGAGCGCCATTCTGATAGGATTGAAAACGTTGGGATCGGAAAAACACATATGAGTTCTCAATTCGGCGGCATCCAATGGGTTAAAAACATGCGCGGAGGAGGCCAGGACACCTCACCAGCGTCTTCGGGGGAGAGAGGCATTCATATGTTGTAATTGCGTAGGGGGTGGCCAACAACACGCCCCCGGTCGAAACAATAGGGTTTCGATGATGCACAGCTTGGACATGCCAGCATTGCTGGAATGGGGGGCTGTCAGAAGCGTGAGCCACACCATCATGCGTGGTGGAGCAGTTCTCACCTACATCGCACAGCACTCCCGGCCTGCATGGGCACGTCGCCGTTTTTTTACATATTGTTTCGCCGATCGGCGCGGATCCCCAGCCCCCCCCCCCTCTCCCTCCCATGGACCAGATCTTGGCTGCTTCTGGCGGCTGCTCTCGGCGACCGGTCAGGACCCCTCCCCCCCCCAGTCTGTTGGCGCGCCTGGTGGAAGCAGATCGACTAAGCATTGGCCCACACCTAGATTCGAACCCTTCCCCATCCTCCCGCCAAATGTCGAAACCCATGATTTACAAATTCAAAATTGATATCAAACATAAAAAGAAAGAGGTAAAACAAATCTAATCATATCTATCTCTACGAATATAAACAACAAAAAAATCACCATCGTCAGCATCAGCATCATCATCAACACTATCATCACCATCACCATCACCATCATCATCATCATCATCATCATCATCATCATCATCATCATCATCATCATCATCATCATCATAGCCATCGCCATCATCATCATCATCATCATCATCATCATCATCATCATCATCATCATCATCATCATCATCATCATCATCATCATCACTGCCTGTCGCCGCACTCGCAGAGTGCGTCTGCTGCTGGTGCGTGCGAGCGCAGAGGCCTCCGGGCTCGTGCAGAGAAAAGCCCTCGCCGGCAGGGACACGCGCCAGGTGCGCAGAGCGGGGGAGGCTCGTGCCACGGGTTCCGTGCCTGGCGGGAGATCCGGGACACCAGGGCGGCCGTCGACCCGCCGCGCCCCACACGCCGAAGGGTCCCCGTGGACCCCTCCTCCTCCCTCCTCCTCCTCCTCCTCCTCCTCCTCCTCCTCCTCCTCCTCCTCCTCCTCCTCCTCCTCCCTCCTCCTCCTCCTCCTCCTCCTCCCTCCTCCTCCTCCTCCTCCTCCCCCTCCTCCCCTCCTCCCTCCTCCCTCCTCCCTCCTCCCTCCTCCCCTCCTCCCTCCTCCCTCCCTCCCTCCTCCCTCCTCCCTCCTCCTCCCTCCTCCCTCCTCCTCCTCCTCCTCTTCCTCCTCCTCCTCCTCCTCCTCCTCCCTCCTCCCTCCTCCCTCCTCCCTCCTCCCTCCTCCTCCTCCTCCTCCTCCGAGCACGCGTCCCAGATCCCCTCGCGCTGTGCAAAAGTCGCGACGGGAGGCTTTCTGCTAGTGCAGGCCTCTGGGAGCCCTGGCCGGGCCTCGGGGCCGTCAAAAAACTATTCGGGATGAGAAACCGGTCCTGGGGAAGGGGTCGAGAGGTCGGGGGGGCCGTGTCTCGAAGAAATCGAGTCGCCGCGCCGACGCACATCCTCCCGACGTGGGCCTCCGGGGACCCCCGCCAGTGCCCTCGTGCTTGGCATCTCTCCTGCGCAGTGGCGTCATTCCTGAGCAGGGCCCACCCGTCCCTGGGTGCGGGCAAGGCTCGGCCCCGTGCTTTTTCTCGACTGGGGCGGCCATTCGGTAGACGAGCGCCGCAGCTCGTGTTGCGGCGGGCCGTCGTGCCAAAGGGGAACCCGGCGGAATAGGGTTGCGGGCGGAGGGCGCGAATTGCTTGTGCTGGCAGGGGCCAGGTTGAGTGAGGCAGCGTGTTGTGGCAGGTTGTGGTGCCCCAAGGGGAGCCCGACAGAATATGGTTGCGGACGGAAAACGCGAGCTGCTCGCGCTGGAAGAAGCCAGGCTGAGTGCCAATTCATACGGTACCGTTGCTTTTCTCTCTCTCTCCCGCGCTCTCACTCTCTCTCTCACTCTCTCTCTCTCTCTCTCTTTCTCTTTCTTTCTCCCGCTTTGGCACAGTCCTCGATGGATGGCGGCAGCTACCGTCCTTGTGGTTCTCGTCCTCAGTTCGCACCGTAGTGTTAAAGCCCAACCCATCTGCAAGAAGTACACGTTGGGGGCAAGGGCACCGATCGCTTAGCCACATTGCTCGATCGAGACTCTGGGTCGGGAGCGGCGGGAAACTTGCCATCCCTACGACATGCGATTACCGAGGTTGTCGCTTATTCCAGGATGCTGTCGCGTCCATGTTCCAGGCTATGCTCATCATCTTCGTCCTCGTCCTGTTTCTCCTCCGCCTTCTTGTCCTCCTCCGCGTCCTCATCCTCGTCCACTCTGCACTCATGTTCTCCATCCGCCACCTCTTGCACATCCTCTAATGCCCTCCGCTGCTCGTCGTCGACGTGTTCGCGTTCGTCCACATCGTTACCCTGGTCATCTGCCTGCTCCGACGTCCTGCTATCTCAGCCATGTACGCGGGCCCCCAGAGCTCTCGACCCCCTTCCCAAGGTCAGGCGTTTCGTTCTGAGTCGTGATGTGCAGGTCCCGCTGCCCGGGAGCGCCCCCCGCCGGCCGAAGACCGCGAGAATGCTTGCGCCCTGACCTTGCTCAAGACGCTGGAGGAGCTGGGCCTTCCTCGCCCCCCCCCCCCGCGCGCCGTCCCCCTCGCAGGTGCTCTTCGAGGCGTACGCCGTGGCGGCCCGCGCCGAGTGGTGCGTCCGGGGCTTCGGGGAGATGCCGTCCTGCGTCACCTTCGAGTCCGCGCCCTTCGGCCTGGACCGCGGGCTGTCCAGAAGCCGCTGGCACCCAGACCCGGCCAGGCTCGAAGTGTCGGAGGCCTAGAGGGTGACACCAGCACCAATGTCGGCGGTGTTCCGCCCGAGGGAAGATGACCCCGATCTCGGCGATGGTGGTAATCTTCGGGCTTTCTCTGGGTGGCCCGAAGATTACCACCAACACCAAAATCTAGGATCATCTTCCTGGAGGCAACTGTTGGTGTTGGTGTTGGTGCCCATTTCCAAGCTTCCAACAGTGTGTGTGGACGTTTTGAGCATTTATTGGCGGTCTCCTCGAGGTTCCTCGTGGCCGCGGCTGGATCCCCCTCGAACCTCTGGTTAGAGCACGCCCCGCATGTCGAGTTGCGACCCACGAATCCAGACCACCGAAGTTTTGAAAAGTTCAGGGCGGAGGTTTCTCCAAATGTTCGGCCGCGGGGTGGGGTCGGGTTCCAGAGCCGTCAAACGAGACCCAGAATGAGAACGTGGTCCTTAGGAACAGCCCGAAGCGATCAGGACAGGTGTTCCGGCAGTTTCGACCTTTGGAACCAGCCAGGCTTGCGTCGGGGGCGGCAAAGAGGGGGGTGATGACTAGGGGGGGGTGGATATCATGGCGGGGGCCATGATATTTCCCCGGATCTCATGGCGCCTCTTCTCATGTCATTAATTACGTCCCTGGCCCCCCCGCTGGGCCGCGCACGTGCCGCCGGCCATGATTTGCATCCCCCCCCTTGTTGGACACCCCCCTCTTGGCCGCTCCCGATGGCGCGTTTATGTTCCTACGCGTCCGTCCTGGCATGGCGATTCGGAGGGCCCCCGCTGCTGTGGCCGGGCTCGGCGTGGGGAGCCGGACTCGGCGTGGTGCCCGGGGAGGGCTCGGAGGGCCGAGCGCTGGGCGGGCGCCGGTCGAAGACATGAAACACACATCTGGTCCTTGCGGGCTTGGCAAGATTCAGGAGGGAAAGAAACACACAGACACAATTCATCGTCGAGTGCCAGGAAAATATGGGAAAATATGGGAAGAATTGGGCGGGGAGGCAAAAATCCAGAAGATATGGGAAAATATGGGGAATCTTTGTATTTGTGTGTATTTATTTGTGTGTTCCAGTTCCCCTTCAAAGATTCTCATCCCTGTCCACGTGAATGATAAATGCTCGCCTCTGGGGGGGGGGGGGGCTCCGCATCGCGGGGGGGAGGGGCGCACGAGAGCCACACCGTGCGGCTCCAGCGAGCCCATGACGCTTGGTTTTGTCGAGTGTGTGGTTGTAATGTTCGTATCTCCATGCGCGGGCCAGCGAAACCATGCACAAACACCTAGAACCCCGTCGACAAGAGTGTCTCACTCGGCTTGAATCGGGGATTTGGCCCAAGCCGCTCAGCAAGGCTGAGATACGACAGAGGGCCACTCATCTTTCCTAGACTCGGCAGCGAGCGCGAGGGGAAAGTGAGAAGGGGCGGGCCTCCTTAGCAGGCTCGGACGTCGCCAGGCCCTCTGAGAAGCTTCATCTGCCTTCCCCGAAGACGCAGAAGAACTGACCGGAAGGCGCGAGGGCTTCTGAGGAGTCCCGCCGCCTTCTGAGGAGGCCCTCTCCTTCTCGCTTCCCCCCCTCGCTCGCCGCCGATAGACCACTACAGTCGGGGCCCCGAAGAAGGAACCCTTTTCGTTGGGGAGGGGCTCAGCGTTCCTTAGATGTTTCACAGCTTGCCTCAGGCTTTCCTCAGGTTTTCGACAGGAAACCGGAGGTTCACTTATGGAAAAAAGGGGCCTCGTTCCTTATCTCGGGTTCCTTGGGTCAACGCCCCGACTGTACTTGGGATGGCCCCGCCCTTCGCCCAGGCAGGCGCGGCGGGCCTGTCGCTGTACATGCTGTGCGGCCCGCGGGCAGCGGTTCCTGCGGGCCACAGGAGGACAGCCTCGCCCCGCCCCGGGAGGAGGGAGGGGAGGGAGGGAGAGCGAAAACGAGGGGGGACGAGGAGGAGGAGGAGGACGAGGAGGAGAAGGAGGAGGAAAAGGAAGAGGAGGAGGGACGAGGAGGAGGGCGGAGGACGGATGAGGGGGGGTGGGAAGGAGAAGGCGGGGGGACGAGGAGGGAGGTGGGAGGGAGGGAGGAGGAGGGAGGAGGAGGGAGGAGGAAGAAGAGGAGGAAGAAGTGGAGGAGGAGAAGGAGGTCTGGAGTAAATCTAGGATGCTTCAAAGATGGAGTTAATCTAGGATGCTTCAACGATGCTGCGATGCTGAAGTACACCCTCCCGTCCCATGCTCACGCCTCGGAAGTCCCTACGAGTCATTGTTTTCTTCTTCGCAAAAAGCAGAGCACCCAGTGAAACGAGCAGCCCAGTGGCTTGCCGTTGAGGCGAGAGCCCTGTTTTGAAAACGGCCTAGCCCCCCTCCTAGAAACTGCTGCAAGCCTCCAGCCACACGTGCGCGGCGCTAAGGCGAGAGCCCCAATCCGATAACGAACAAGCCCCCGTCTTTGAAATTGCCGCAAGCGTGTAAAGACGAATGTGCTCGAGGCTGCGGCGAGAGCCGCATTCTGAAGATCGCCCGGTCTCCATCCACGAAGTACTTGCATGTTGACAAAGACGAATGCACTCGGCGCCAAGGCGGTTTCCGCATGTTGAAAGCCATGTGCCCGCAGTCCGCGAAGACGTCGCAAAGTTTTGAGACAGATGTGCGCGTGCAAAGTTGACGGCCGCATCATGACAAGCACTCGCCATCCAGCTTTCAACAGATTGGAAGCGGTTAATAGAAGAATGTGCGCTGCGATTTGGAAAGCATTGGGCCCTCCATCCTTGAGGGTGTTGGAGCTTCTTAGCTTAAGGATAACGAATCGCAGGGGAGTCTCAAGCGAAACGTCCAGCCCGGCCTATGGACACGTCTGGTGGTGCGTGGAGAGCGGTGTTCATGAGACAAAGGGATGGAGAAAAGGAGAAGGCCGAGGAGGGCCAGAGTACTTTGGGTTTCTTAATAAGCGTGGGGGGGGTACCCCCCGACGGGGGTCAACCTCGCCTCGTCGTCGCGCAGCGACGGGGGTCGGAGCGCCTTCGGCGCGCGGTGGCTGCCCGCGACCGACGGGGGTCGATGTGGGGCTGCCGGCGGGGATGACGCCCCCCCGACGCTTATTAAGAAACTCTGAATAAGCACAGGTTCATCAGCGATGCTGCAATACACCCTGCCGTCCCAAGTGCCCTCTTCATCTTGGCATCCCTCGTACGTGATTGTCTTCGGCCAGGACCATCGAGGAGGATCTCGGATCAGCTTGGGGAGAAAAACACGCACGAAATCGAAATACGCACGTGGAATGGACGTCCGAGCGATGGCAAGCCCTCCTTTCTCAATACAGGCACCGGCCCCGTAAAAAACGAGCAATCTGTGGGCGTGCCATTCAGTCGAAAGCCCCGTTTTGCAAAGGAGTTGCCCTTCATCCTTGCAGCTGGCCATGGCGGGCACGAAAAGTGTAGGATCATAAAGGCCAACGACGAGTCCATCGAAAGGTTGGGGGGTGCGAAAAGAAGCCGCCCCCACCCGTGCAACTGCTGCACCATATGGCACGTCTGATCATTGAGTTTGAAAGAGCCTCCAGAGAGAGCCCCGTTCTGAAAATTGTCCGCCATCTGCGCAGTTATTCGGTATTTGTCCAGCCAAACTTTTAAGATAAATGTGTGCGGTACTTAGGCAAGAGCCCCGTTTTCAAAACAAGCTGGCCTCCAAGCCTTGGGGCCAAAAGTGCGGGCGCTGAGGAGTGAGCACCATTCTGAAAACAAACCGGCCCCCATCCGTAAAGCGAATGTGCGTGGCGCTAAATTGAAAGAGTTGCATTTCGACCTGCCCTCCTCAATCCGTGCAGCTGATGCTTAGGCGAGAGCCGCATTTAGAAAATTGCGCACATTCCAGCCTAGAAGCTGCTGGAAATTGTTAAAGCGAGTGCACGCGTCGCTACGACAAGAGCCGCATGTTGAAAATTATTAGCCCTCAATCCTTGAAGTTGTTGGAGCTGTTTAGCTTCAGGAAAGCATATCCAGCTGCCTGCGGCAAACGTCGCCACCGTGCCTGCGCATCAGCGTCGCAGGAAGGAAGCCGAGTGTAGGAACAGCGCAATTCCGACATGTAGTCTGCATTGGGGCGGGTCGTGAGCCGGACCCCGTCTTCGTCCGCGCGGTAGGGAGAAGGAGGCGGAGGAGGAGGAGGCGGAAAAGGAGGAGGAGGAGAAGAGGAAGAGGGAGAACATGAGGATGAGGAGGAGAAGGTTTCCTAGGGCCTTCTTGGGGCCTCTTGGGGGGTTATTGGGGCCCCTTGGGCCGTCTTAGGGGATTATTGGCCCGTCTGACGCCTGTGGAGGAGGCCGCTTTGGGGGCCTCTCTTGGCAGTGTTGGTGCCCTTTGGGGGCGCTTCACGGCCGTCTTGGGCCCCCCTTGGTAACTCCTCAGGCGATCTGTGCACCCTTTTGGGCCGACTTGAGGCCCTCTTGGGGGCCTCTTGGGTTGTCTTGGAGCTGTCTTGGAGGCCTTCAGCAGACTCTTGGGCCGTGTTGGGCGATCGGAAATCCGAACAGGCGAGAGCCTCAAATCCGTCAAAAGCCAAAGGAAAATCAATGGTGCTGGCCCCATCGGGCTCTCCAGGATGGCCTCTTGGAGCCCCCCTCGGGCCGTCTTGGGAGCTTCTTGATCTGTCTTGAGGTTGTCTTGGGCGCCTCTTGAGCCGCCTTGGGCCATGTAGGGCCATCTTGGTGTCATCTTGGCTGCCCTGAAAGCAGTCCTGGAGGCCATGAGGCTAGGCCTCAAGACATATCAACATGCCCAAGACGGCCCAAGAGGTCTCCAAGAGGCCTTCCAGGAGAGCCCGAGGAGGCCAAAACCAATGATTTGCCTCGGGTGTTTTTGAAGGATTTTGATGTTCTGGCATGTTTGGATTTCCGACCGCTCCAGACAGCCCAAGAGGCATCTCCGGGCCGTCGTCTTGCTTTCTTGGAGCGTTTCACGGCCGTCTTAGGGGCCCTCTTT